CACCCACAGTGAAGGCAGAGCCACTCATTCGCAGAGCAAAGTCTATATATTGTTCAAGTGACCAGTGTGGGGTATTGCGTGGCATTATCTGTGATAAAAATTCTCAAACCATAACGAAAAATGTATTTTTAAACTCCAAAATAAAAGACATGAAAACATGAACAAGAAACACAACCCAAAACACCACATTACAAAAAGATGTGACTTGTTACAGTAATGAGAATGTATGAGAATCATTACCACTGGAAATAACAGGAATTTATTATTATAAAAAATATATTTATTTATTATTAAAAAAAAAAGTTCTAAATTCCAAAAAAACTGTTCTGATGCATTGTGGTCATGAAAGAAAATGTCACAGTCAGGGTTATTATAGTTAACTAAAACTCAAACCATTAAAAAAAAATAATTGCTTGAAACAAAATAGATGTTAACTAAGGGGAAAAAACTTTTTGTAATTTCAGCTAGCTGCTAAAGTAACATTTCTCATTTTAATTTAGTTTAACTTGATGTAAAAAAAACTGTAATAAAAATGAATAATCTTTAAAGACGTATTTTAAAAGGAACTACTTAAAATTACAAAATCACAACAAACTTGCTAAAACTAACTAAAATAAAAACAGAAAATCTAAAAATTAAAAGTAATTAAAAATATAAATAAAAAAACTATAATTAAAAGTATTAATAAAAACTATAATAGTTTTGTATCTCAATGATACTAACATAACAATGGTTACAATGACATTAAAATTCTTCAAAATATAACTTTATGTGATGTTCTTTATTACTCTTTGATTGTGTATGTACTATATATATATATATATATATGTATGTATATAGCGAGAGAGAGAGAGAGAGAGAGTAGGCTAATATAATATAATGCAGTTGGAATATTTTCAAGTGTTTTCAAGATTATATAGATTGTATATCCTGTAATCTTTTTCTCTAGGTATTGGTCATGCTTACATAAATATCCTCGTCAACACACACACAAAGGAAAACTTGATTATTACAACTAGATGTGTGTGTTAGGAATCCCAAAGGTGATCTCTGTCACCATAGCAACACCCAGCATAGTCTGGCGGGGTTCTGGCTGTGAGGAGAGGATACGTTAGAGTCGACTACCACGTGGGGTCCGGGACCCCTTACGGGCTGTGAATTTGCATTATAGCATTTCCCCGACATATGAGTGTGAGAGACGGACAGATCACGCATGTGCTTGGCCTGTGTTCTCTCCTCTCTTCCTTTATTCCCATTGTTATGACATGACTCACCGGATATTATGTGTCCCTCCATGTTTCCGTCCAATTACGCAGAGCTCTGTGGTAATGAGGCTGGCTCCAGAGATCTGTGGGGAAGCCTTTAAAAGATTGGAGTGATCCGGCTCGCACTGATCTGGTCTGTAGCTAATGCCTCTTTATGAGTCCCTGGGTAATTGGAGCTGAGGAAAAGTGATTAAAACAGAGCAAAAGGGACTGGAAACGTGCTGGAGAACAGCAAACTCAATATATGTGACATTCTCCCATGAGTGACCTTTAAACGAACATAATTGTTATTTACAGCTTAATGTGTGTGGACAGCTACTGTGGCGTTCAATGTGTATAAATGAACCGGGACTTTGAAAGGAAGTTTAGCCGCATAAACATTTAAAAAATCTATCATCACCATTGGAAATAATAGGAAGTTATTATTTTTAAAAAAAATCCCTATTCAGATGCATTGTGGTAATTATAGTTAACTAAAGAAACTTTTTTTATTCTTAAAGGGGTCATATGATGCTGCTAAAAAGAACATTATTTTGTGTATTTGGTGTAATGAAATGTGTTTATGCGGTTTAAAGTTTAAAAAACACATTATTTTCCACATACTGTACATTATTGTTTCTCCTCTATGCCCCGCCTTTTTGAAACGCGTCGATTTTTGTGAGTAATTTATGGGCTAATTTTCATTTTTGGGTGAACTAACCCTTTAAGTGTCTTTTAAACCACAACTAAGAAAAAAACCTCAGTCGAGGAAGTTATTCTCTGGCCTAAATGAATGAACATTTTCTTACATTCAGTACAAGCTCGCATTCAGGTCTGCCTCCATCCATTCAACTACCGACTGACTGAACCAGTCCACGTCAATAATCATTTTCACTCAGATGTACATCAGAATACAGGAAAAAAAGCTCTGTTGTGTCTTTGCATCTATTTTACTTCTGGTTAATCACAACTTACAGTAAATACATACTGTGACTAAGAACTTAGTCCATGTTCTCAATTATGAGTTATGAAACACATATGAGAAAAATATATTTCTCTCATGACCCAAAAAATTATTGAGGTCATGTACATATATTGCGCGATAAGTCGATATATTGATTATTGCGACAGGCCTAGACCCAACTAAAAAATGTAAACACTCCTTCTTTCACTTTGTGTCCATGCATGGGATATGGAAGTGCACTGTCTATAATCATGTGATACTGGCTGACAGATCATGGCAATTCATTTCAAAGCCTGAGGTGTTTAAGGCCTATCTGGGAATGGAAGTATAGTTTACATAATATAATTTTTGTTTGCTGGTTTCATATTCAGGATGAAAAATTCAATACATTTGATTTAAAGACTTTTCCAACAAAAGTCTTTACAGCTATAAATATAAATGTTGATGTTATCCCAGAAATGAAACAGCTGTTAAACTGTGTGAAGTCAACATTGACATGTCAGATTTAATTGGTTTGTGTAGGTGTCAATTATGTTCAATTATGAGTCAAGGGTTCGTTTCCCAGATGTATACCTTAAATTCACTGCAATTCGTTTTTGGGTCAACACAAATGTTAAATAACAATCTGCTGTTGGTTCCACTGTTTGCATCCTCAGTTAATGCTAAAACGACACTGGAATTTCAATCTCAACCAAACTGATGATTCAAATCAACAATGTATCATTTGGAAAGTTATTAAAGTCTGATACAAAATAAATGGTCAGCATTTGTATTCATCTAGGTGTTTCAAATGCGTACGTGTTGCACCCTTCAGAGTGCTCTGAATAGACTGATTTGGACATTTCAGCTCAAACAACAAACCTTTTTTACTGAGGAATCCATTTAAGTGCTTTACCAAAAACACGCACTTCCCATTTCTGCTTTTAAACCCTCTAGTAACCATTTGTAAGTGCAAGTAAACACATTTCCATTTGTGTTTCGAAAAGATTGCCTGTGGTGATTGGCATCTTGCCGCTGCAGATGCTGGCAGGCATCGGGTTGAACATGAGCTGGAATATTCCTCTTCTTCTCCCTGTTCTAGGTCTCTTGTTTGTTGCAGACTGTGGAGCGAAATGAAAAAGCACCAAAGTTACGGCTTTTCCAGTTATGCTCCCCCTCGTTGTGCAAGTAATTTATAATTCTGAATTAAGTCAGCGCAGATAGCGAGGTCAACCAACAGCCGCCTTGTTCGCAAAAGGCAACATCATTTCCTTCTAAAGCTATTAGACTTTAATATAGCAACAGCGCTTTGTAGCTCTCAATTGATTGCTTTTTATATTACCGCAATGGCAATAAGTCTAATTTTCTTGTCCCCTCTCTCACACGTCATCATTATCTGTCCTCCCCCCTTCCTCTCCATCTCTTGTTTATCTCCAACCAAACACCATCATTCCTTTTAGAGTGCAGGTAGAGTTCTATGTGAATGAAAACACTTTCAAGGAACGTCTGAAGCTGTTCTTCATCAAAAACCAAAGATCCAGTGAGTTCTCGCCCAGGCCGAGCGGCGGCTCTAATTGTGGCTTTTCTTGTCCTGTGAGGTGGTAGTTTGTTTTTGCTTTCACGTGGAGTGCTGTTGACCCCTGTGAGTGGCTCTGTGGAGCTGGTGCTGGGTAATTGGTTGGTCTTGTATTTGTTTCTGCGCAATTTGATGTGCTGTCCTCTAGCTGTCGTGTCCTGTCCGTGAGTACTCGGCTTCGTGTTTCTGTGGTTTGTGAAGCTCTTTGAAATGCTGATTGGTGACGGCCTCAAGCTCTTTTTTGCAGGTTTGAGAGTGCGACTCTTCAACTTCTTCCTGAAGGTTCTGAGCTGCCTGCTCTACATCGTACGAGTCCTGCTAGACGACCCGCGGGAGGAGAGAGACTGGTGAGACACAGCCACATGGCACTGAGCATATAAGCTTTGTTCCATGCACTCGACGTGAAAGTTGTTTCAGTAGGCAGCGAAGGTATTCAGTCTTGGCCACGTTCTAAAGGTGCATCACTATCATCTGGGATCTGCAAAACCCAACGCAACTGAAGTTTTAAATTGCGGAGTGCATGTGCGGGTGAAAAAAAGCAGGAAAGCAGGATCTTGCGGGCGAGAGTGGGACAAAATATAAAAGTTGTGGCCAGGAGCATGAAGAAATATCTTATTTTTAGCAGGAATGGGAAAGAATTTGTGGAAGAAGGACTGAAAAATCGATCTTATGCAGACCTCCATATCACAAAAATGTCCATTGTCTATTATCAACAGTAGGGCTGCACAATAATGTTTAAATGGTTAATCATGGTTATTTTGCACAAAAATATAATTACAATTATTAATCATGATTATTGTCATAATTGTTTTATATATACAGTGGGTACGGAAAGTATTCAGACCCCCTTTAATAAATTTGCAAAAATGTCAACAATTCTGTGTTTTTCTGTCAATATGGGGTGCTGTGTGTACATTAATGAGGAAAAAAATTAACTTAAATGATTTTAGCAAATGGCTGCAATATAACAAAGAGTGAAAAATTTAAGGGGGTCTGAATACTTTCCGTACCCACTGTATATATTTCATCAGAGTTATTGCACTTTCACATAAGCACAATTAAGCTCACATGGTTTGCTCATAGATAGTTGCAGCAAACAACGCAAATGTGTGAAAGAAAACAGACTGGCTGTATTACACTTTTATTTGAGCAGAATATTTCAATAGAAATCGCTAGACTTACATGTTTGCCGGTGTTTTCAGCTCCTCAGCACTTTTTCTGTGATGTAGAGAGAGCTCATGTGCGTGGTTGCCAAAATGGGAAGAATAAGTAAACCACTGGGCAAAAAATGTATCGATTTATGATAAAAGCTCTGATTACATGATTTAATCTCAAAATTTGGCAACCTTAAACATTAATTTTGTTACCAATGCAAGATACCGCAAATGTCAAATATATAAATAACCAGCGGGCAAATATCATGGAAGATTACGCTTAATATCAGAAATCGTGATCACAATTAAAATACAATTCATGGTGCAGCCCAAGTCAATAGTGTAGCAATGCATTAAGCACTGCTCACATGGTAGTCACTTTTAAACCAATCAGCTTTCTGTTTATCAGTGAGGCGAATTTGTGAGACCAACTTGAACATGAGTGGAATCGTTTCTTATTGAAATAACTGGATTTTGCCCACAAAATTTCACTGAGCAGTGATAAATATGATTTTACCTTAAAACAATCACAGAATGCATTGCAACAAGTTTAGTAAAACTATGTTTATCCAAGATGGCAAAGGAAATGTTCAATTTGAATAAAGCATTGCATGTATCTCTCATAGTAAGGCCAATTCCATAACTCATTCAGTGAAAATTTCCATTTAAAGGTGCAGTGTGTAATATTTGGGAGGATCTATTGACAGTTTTTATTACCCTATAAGCAATTTCTACAATATCCACGGGTTCCCTTACATGGAAGTCTCTATTTTGCACCACCATGTTTCTACAGTAGCCCTAAACAGACAAACTGCTCTACAGAGCGCATTTTGTCACTATGATGTACTTGCGAATAAAACACTGACACAACGATGAACAAGTAACAATAATATTCACAATGACATATTGGTTTACTGAATAATTAACTGAAAAATAATATAATTCCTTAATTTACCTTTGTAAAGAACACTACTGAAAAGTCCTACATAAGATGCTATATCAATTAAAATAGTTCCATTTAATAAAATAATGATAATTTCACACAGTGTGTCTGTGTGTATGTTGGAAGTACTATCTAGAGTTTTAAGTCATTAGCTTAGCAACATGCTAAAGCTGTCTCATCAAGTCATAAACAGCACTTAAGTACTGAAAAGTATCATTTAAGTTGTTAAATCAATAGCATAATCTAATATAATATTGATTGTTTCACCCAATATTTGTGTGTTGGAAGTTTTTGTAATAGAGTTTAAGTCATTAGCATAGCAACATGCTAACGTCAGACTTAGCAAGAGTTGAATTTGTTTCTTGAGGAACAGCAACCATTTGTTTTTGATCCAGCAAAGTTAGAATAGAGTTGAACTTTATGAACAGTGAACCTATTCCCCCAATAGATTTGAATACAGCGGTCAAGAGGAAACACCTTCCAGCAGCACAGTTATATGACAATCTTTAGTGACTAATTGCTAACTGTCAGTTTGAACGAATCTTTATACATAAGTAGTGTTTAATCGCTTGAGGTGACTGACTCGCTGTACTGGTGCTGTTGCTAGTTCCTGCTCGCTGTATCAGTTGAATAGCTGTCTGCACTTCCATTGGTTGTCGCTGCATTACATCACTGCTCATTAGCATAAAATTGAACTTTGTCAGAGAGAGTGTGGGTGGACGAAGGGAAAGTGAGATCTGGAGGAACTATCTGGAGAAGATTGAAATGCCTTTGGATAGTCCATGCATAAAAACTCTTATCTGTGTGTGTTTGCTTCCCCTGCAGTCCTGGCTGTCTCAGACAGAATGCATCTGCTCACAACAGAAGCCATTTTGACTGGTAAGTATCCAGGCTCTTGACTCTGGCATGAGAAATGAAGATGGTGGCCGAGGGCCAGAAACACAGACATAAGGCCATTTTAATAGAGAAGATCTGAAGAAAATCAGTGCAATCATTTGTAATGTTTGTGAATCTCCTCTTTTAAAGATGTTTATCGGGTTTGTAAAACTCTCTTTTGATATTTCAAGCGTTACCTTGTTAAAAATAAGTGCACTTAAATTGTATTGAGTGTTTTAAAACCGTACTTGCAGATAATACAATATTTATGAAATAAAAGGCCAATCAAGTGTATGCAAAGATTGTCCTCTTTCAAAAGTGCATTTAGTCAAAAATTAATGTCAAATTGTAAGTTTTACTTTAAATTACATTTTAAATCTTTGTTTTAACAATCTTTTTTCATGCTTTAAAGAAGTACACTTATTTAGATAATGTTCTAACATACTAAAGCACATTGATTTTAATTTGAACTGTAGTGAGTTATTCAATATGAACTTTTTAAACAAACTATTGTACAACTTCATCACAGATATGTAATTACTGATGAATGCAACCAGCAATTACAATATACTAGTGTATTACAATAACAATGCAATTGCAATGTAATTACAATGTATTTAAATGCATGAAATACAAGTTTCGATAGAAATTACATTAAAGTATATTAGTTTACCATAAATGTTTGTCAGTACATTTAGTAGTACACTTTAACCATATTTCATACAAAAAAAAATTCTTAAGTGTTACTTTAGTGGGTCAAAACACCCTAAGGTTCAGCTAATTGCATTTAATAAAAAAATAATGCAATTAATAGTGGGCTGACGACCCCGCTGTAGCCCCGCCCTCAGCTAAATCTGATTGGTCCAGAATCCCACTCTTCATACAGTATTTAAACAATATATTAAACATACAACATGCTCTAACTGGGTATGAGTCAATTGAATTTTTGCTGGAAATGTATGGTGTTGTTTACAGTTAAGATGTTTTGTCTCATGCCAACAGTAGAATTGATTTATTGACTTCAGGACACTGCACCAGGAGTCTCCGTGACATGTTTAACAAGGCGGTTCGGTTTTCCCCATTTATTAGACATCAAAAATTCTGGCGGTAGTCTGTAAGCGTTTAATGGTGTGTGTCTGACACGATGCCGCTGTGCTCATTACTTTAATGCAGAATACACACCACACAGCTTTGATTTCTTCATTCGTAACAAAAATGTTGGTTTGAATCTGTTTATTGCTCAGCCATTGTAAATGGATTGGATTCTGGAATTGGTGTGTTTGTTTGACGTGTGAAGAATACAAAAAGTGTTCAATTATGAGCACTCTTCTTGATCTGAGCGTCTCTAATTTGTAATTTTCTTTTTTTCTCATTTCGTCATAATAATGGCTTCCTGTCATTAGGTCCCTCATTATTTGGGTGAACAGGCCTCTGCCACTCTGGGCTCTTCAGGTAAGAACAAATAAATCCTCTCTGTCATTCAGTAATACACGCTCACATACACAGGGGTTTCTTCTACAGGCACTTTTGGGATTTTAAAAAGGTATTTTAAAAACACCTTTCAGACTCTTGCTGTTTTATTTAATATTAAAGCAATGGATGTACATACATCACAGAACAATTTTGTCATCATTGGCATCTTTGGTTCCACAAAGAACCTTTAACATTCATGGAACCTTCCCATTCCACAAAAGGTTCTTTATAGTGGAAAAAATTTAAATAAAGAAATCCACATTTCTGTAGATTTTTCATTCTTTCTTTCTTTCTTTTTTATTTATTGCACTTTGGTTTATTTATTTATTTTGCTCATCATGTCTCATATTATGTCTTAATCTCAAGCTCATTGTCATGTCCTAGATAACCCAAGTGCACTATTATTGTTGTTATTGTTATTATTATTATTATTTGTATGGTTACACAATAAAATATGTCCCATTAGTTAAAATTGCTTAGTGGATGAACTATCATTAACTAACAATGAGCAACATATTTGTTGTTAATTATTCATTTTTATTAACGTTAATTAATTAATAATTTAATTAAATAATAATAATAACATAATAATTAAATAAATAATTTAATTGAATTCATTCATGTTAGCTTAGTTCCATTAAATAATGTTAACACATACAACTTTAATAATTTTATAAAGTTATAAATGATAAATTTAAATAATTTATTAGTAAATGTTGAAACTAACATGAACTATGATTAATAAATGCTTTAAAATATTTTTTATTTTTAGTTCATGATAACTAATGCAGTTAACTAATGTTAACAAATGGAATCATATTGTAGTGTTATATACTATTCAAGTGTTACTACTCATTCTTTCTTTCTTTCTTTCTTTATGATTAAAATTTTGTTCATAATTGTTGGTCACATTTGGACTGAGGTCACATTTTAGATTTTAAGATTGAAACTTAAAAGGGTCATGATTGGGTAGAAAATAAAATCTGTAAATAAAAGTAACAGAAATAAATGATGAAACATTTTCAAGACATTTTCCAGGAAAATGTTTGTGACCTTCATGTAACAAAAACCCGTTAGCTTTATTAAAAATCAACCCATGGTACATAAAAGTGCCTGTGTTTGAAAAACACACACAGACACATTTGCCATTGTTGTGTTTCCCTCGGTTTGGCCATTTATTCTCAGACAGTGTGAAACACGCTGCCCCTGCTGTTTCTTCCTACACAACCTCTGCTTCTCTCTCATCTCTGTCCCTTTTTCTCTCTGTTTGTCTATTTTCGCCTCTCTCCAGGTGCTTGTTGCATTCATCAGTTTTTCAGAGACCATGTTGCTGGTGTACCTCAGCTACAAGGTGAGTCAAACAACACATCTGCCCATGGTTTTATCACTAGTACAAGTACACTATGAGACCCTCTTGGCTTCAAAGAGGTCTGTAATACCTGGAGAGAGCTGTCTGTATCTGTTAGCATTTCTGTTCATTACAATGCTTGCTGCAAGCCCATTTTAGCTTTTAAGAGCCCTGCCTGACTTTCATTTAGTCAGAAATCACGTCTGCTTTTGAATGAACGTCAGAGAAGAAACAGGCTTTGTTAGTTACAACTTCTACCAGCAGGAGCTAACTGACGTTAACCAGTCATTTGTCACCAGATCCATTCCTTTTTGTCATGCGGTGACAGTAGTACAAATGAAATCCCTACATTTTAGCATACTTTAACAAAGATTATTTAAAAAATAAAATAAAGTCTACTTTAAAAGAATATACTTAAGTATACACTGAAATGAAAATATATTACAGTATAAGTTTATATAACTTATATAAGTTGATTTGGCTGAACTTCAGAGTGCTTTTTTGACCCATTTAATATTTTAATATGTAATTTCATAATTACTTCTGTTGTCTCTGAAATATGGTTAAAAATACTGATGAATGTACTGCCAAGCATTTATGCTAAACTAAAATGTACTTTATTTCTATTACAAACTTGAATGTCATGTATTTAAATATATTTGTAATTAGTTGCAATTTAATACCCTTAAATATGTGTTTTACTTTAAATATAATACTGAATAGAATAGAATTAAAATGTTTATATGATTATATTATTATAAATAGCTCAGATGAAAAACAAGTGCAGTTCCACAATGTACTTAAAGTGCTCTGTTTCCATGCACTATTTTGTACTTAATATATTCTTTAGCTCTTCTTAAGATAATCTTAAGAACATCTAAGAGTACTCAAATGTGCTATCTTACTAAAGAATCATTTTTAGTATGTTAAGTACTAAATTAGTGCATGAAAATAGAGCACTTTAAATACATAATGGAAGTATACTTTTCTTTCTCCTGGGGTAATAATTATTGTAATAATAGTTACAATTGTGAACTTAAAAAATTTAATTTAAGTGTGTTAATAAACACTCTAAGTACACTTAAGTGGCCTTTTTATTTCATTAACATTATATTATCTGCAAGTACAGTTTATAAAATGTATACTTTTAAGACTTGAAGTACACTACAAGGTCACATTTAATACAAAAGCACACAAGATTTACATTTTTTTATAATAAAATGGCTAATTAAATTGTTGTTTATTTCATTGCTGGCATTTTACATCTTTAATATACACAATCAAAATAATACCTTGACACTTTTCAGAATCGCAGCACTATTAGAAATTACACTCAATAACATTCTGTTCTGAGTGATATTTATATTGTATGTTGTAATACCAAACCGATAATGAGACAACCATGATATTTATATTGCTTAGTCCAAAGAAAAATAAAATAACAAGCTCACCACACAAAAGACTGAACCAATGTGTGAGCATGAATGCTGTTTTAGCACTCATTTACTAACATTTGCTTTTCGGCAAATCAATTCAGACTACGTTACCTCATGTAATAAATATTCATGAGAAGAGCTGATATGTTTAATATCATGTTCTGTCGACTTTTTAGATTGTTCCTTCACCCTGATTATAATAGATCTGCAGTCCTCAAAGTGTATTTAAGAAGATCAAACGAAATGAGATGGAGAAAAGGTGTAGAAACCTGCTGGACTATCCATCTAAAACATCAGACAACCATCAGAAGCTGGTTCCATGTGGTTCTGAGATGTTCAAAGCTGGTCATTAGCTGGTCCAGACTGGTTCATCATCTTTGTTTTAGCTGGCAAAGGCTGGTCTTAGACCATCTTAGATGAGCAACAAGCAAGCTACAAAAACAAGCTTAACCACCATAAGCTGTTTTGACCTGTTTTTTTCCAACAGTGTTAGAGAGCGACTGATAGAGGAAGAGTTTGCCAGTGACAATCAATCTGTTTTGAAGGGACTAAGTGGGTAGAGAAAACACGAGGCATGTTTGTCCTGCAGACGCCGATAGTGAAGGGATCTCTTAGAGTCTTGATCCCCATGCGAGGAGCACAACCTGCATCAGCACATCTCTCGTGCTCTTTGTTCTGCATTGATTTCTTGCCAAACCATCTAGGCCTCTTCACCCACGCAGGGCCCACATGGGTGAGACCTAAACATACATCCAGCTTGTGAAATGTGGCAGACGTTTAACACCTTAATTCAGCCACAGGCTCAACTGCAACCGATAAATGAAACATATTTCCGAGGGGGCGAGGAGAGTGACCCTGCTTTTTTTCAATGGATCAAACCCAATCAAAGCAGCATTTTATCCTTTAATCCAAGAGGTCACACAGACAACAGTGTTTCTTGTCCCTGACAAGAGTGTTCTTGTTTCCAGGGGAACGTTTGGGAGCAAGTGTTGCGCATTCCGTTCGTTCTGGAGATGATCAGCGCCGTTCCTTTCGTGATCACTGTGAGTACAACAAGCCAATGGGATTTTCACTGCATGGACCACTCCACCTCCAGAACGTCACATCACATCACATATCACACATATCACATCACATATCACATATCACACATCACATATCACATATCACATCACACATCACATATCATATCACATATCACACATCACACATCACATATCACATATCACATATCATATCACACATCACATCACATATCACACATCACATATCATATCACACATCACATCACATATCACATCACACATCACATATCATATCACACATCACATCACATATCACATAACATCACATATCACATCACATATCACACATCACATCACATCACATATCACACATCACATATCACACATCACATCACATATCACATAACATCACATATCACATCACATATCACACATCACATCACATCACATATCACACATCACATATCACACATCACATCACATATCACATAACATCACATATCACATCACATAACATCACATATCACATCACATCACATCACATCACATATCACATCACATAACATCACATATCACATCACATATCACATATCACATCACACATCACATATCACATATCACATATCACATCACATATCACATATCACATCACACATCACATATATCACACATCACATATCATATCACACATCACATATCACATCACACATCACATATCATATCACACATCACATATCACATCACACATCACATATCATATCACACATCACATCACATCACATATCACACATCACATATCATACATCACATATCACATAACATCACATATCACATCACATATCACATCACATAACATCACATATCACATCACATATCACATCACATAACATCACATATCACATCACATATCACATCACATCACACATCACATATCACATCACATCACATCACATCACATCACATCACATCATATCATACCGTAATGTAAATAAGTCATTTTATTTTACAACCAGTAAAAAATATTTGGAGTCTGACATTATTTTATTAGTGTTAGTAGTAATAGTAGTAAACAAAAACAGTTAAAACTATTTTTCTGTTATTACTTAATTTTATTAAACTATAATAATAGTAGTAAAAATAAGAATAATACATTTATTGTGCTTATTATTTGTATTATTATATGTTTAATTTTATTATTTACCATTATTACAACAAACCCTGAAACTGATATAAAGTTTATTTATATAACATTTTCATAATAGTCTTAACCTGTGCTTATGAGTGAGCAATCTAAGCTGTATCGGTGAGAAATTAAGCTGTGTGACTGATTCAGTTCATGATTCAGATTGACGACTCTTGTTTGAATAGTCTGCTTCTACTGATTCATTAAAAGAACTGCACCAATGGAGCGATTCATAGTGAACTGAACTGCACGTTGCACTGTATGTTTATTGTGGCTTGAATTCAATGAGAACAATGCAATAGAAAGCTGCCATGTTTCATAATTTACATACGCTAGAAATAACTAAAATGTGTATATTTTTTGCCATGATGCTAAAGATTCATCAATGGCGCAGCAGTGCTCCTGAATTGCTGTATTGTGTGTTATAGCTGTACCACAAATCTCTTTGAATTGAAAAGAATGAAGTTTTTTTCTTTCCAATCAGGTGATTTTGCCCTCCCTCAGAAACTTGTTCATTCCTGTTTTCCTGAACTGCTGGCTGGCCAAACACGCTCTTGAGAACATGATTGTAAGAAATGAAGCCTATCTTCTATCCTTTCTTCCAGAGCAATTGTGTCAGTGTGTTCCACTTTCATCACAAAGCTCTTATTTTCCTCTCCTTCTCTATCTCACTTCCTCCTTATGCCTCATTTTTCTGATTGTATCTGTCCTCTGCTGCTGAAAGCTTGCTGGTTATCGAATTTGCCAGAGCTCTGGATGATTGTTTTTGGATTTTTATCATAAGTACAAGCACAATGGCACTGTGTTATTAAACGTCTCACTGTCTCTCATCTCTGCCTTCTTTTATCTCTCTGTTTCTCTCCTCCTTCATGTTGTTTTCAGAATGACCTGCACAGAGCGATTCAGCGAACACACTCGGCCATGTTCAACCAGGTGCTCATCCTTATCAGCACCCTGCTCTGCCTCATCTTTACCTGGTGAGAGAAAAACAAAAACAGGGCCTTACATCCATTTTTGACAATAAGAATATTCCTCCCTCATATTGTGGATTGATATTTAAGGTAACACTTTAGATCAGGGACCAATTCTCACTATTAACTAGTTGCTTATTAGCATGCATATTATCAACATATTGGCTGTTTATTAGTACTTATACACATATATGCACATATTGTGCATGACCATATTCTACATCCCTAACCCTACCCAATATCTAAACTTAACAACTGCCTTACTATCTAATAAACAGCAAATTAGGAGTTTATTGAGGTTAAAAGTCATAGTTAATGGTTTGTTAATTTTAAAATGTAATTTATTTCTGTCATATTGTTGTAAAACCCATGATACATTTTGACAGGATTCTTTGTTACAGTTTTTTCAACTGCTTACACACAACATCTTTACTTGTTGTCACAGTTTCTGAAACCTGACACTCAAACACCAGAACCACACACCAAATCTTCAAAACCATACACTAATTCTCGGTCTTTGACTTTGACTTTTTGCAAAACACAACACACAATTCTCTATGTAGCACACGAAAATCTAACAGGAATTAATATTATGGCAAAGGTGTTTGCAAATGTTTGCTTTTGAGACGTGTTTGTGATATTTTGAATGTAGTGCTTCATTTTGTGTGTGCAATTCTTGGATTTGTGTGTAAAGTTTTTTTTGTTTTTTTTAAAGAGGCAAAATTTTGAAAAGCAGATGAAAAAAACTGTAAATAGAAAGTTCAAAAGGATAGCATTTATTTGACATAGGAATAGATTTATTTGTTGAAATAGAAATAACTTTACTTGCTGAAAACAATATTACAGTATTAATTTCTTTAAAAAAAACATCTCACTGACCTAAACTGTATTTTATAAATATTTTATATAAATATGTTTATTATTTTATATTTTTGAATATTTTACATTTTATATATTTAAATTGTACTCATATGGCTCAAGTTATTTTAAACCATGTATGACTTTCTTTGTTTTTATTTGTTTTGGAGCATAAAAGAAGGCATATTTGATTCCTTTTTATCCCCATTGACTTTCATTATATGAAAAAAAAACACTTCTTCAAATAACTTCTTTTGTGTTCTGCAGAACAAAGAATTTCATGCAGGTTTGGAATAAAATGAGGGTGAAAAATATTGACTGAATTTTACTTTTGATACTATAAAAGTACAGTATCAAAAACAGACAATTTACAACAATAGGTCAGTGAGAGAGCATAAAATGATTGCATAAAACTAAATTGTGCTTTTGGTGCAAGAAATGTTAAAAGTAGACGTAAAATGTAGAACAAGGCCTTTTTGCATTGTACATTGCAGAATGGGAGCTAGTGCGACGGTGCGGCTGGTCAGTAGTTGATAGGATGATGTTTCTAAAGTGCTGATTAATTAAACACCACGTTGTGTGTGTTCTCTTGTTGTGTGAGGTAAATAGCAGGGAGGTGCTGAATGTGCAGGGTAGCGGTGCGTTTGTAAAACAGAAGGGAGAGAAATGAATGACCTTTTCACCACTGACAGCTGCTTGTTGACTCAACCGGCCTTTCAACACCGAGCAAATACACACACACACACACACACACACTGGCTGTACTGAAAGATAACCCACACACAGACACACAAACAGGGTTCACATCATGTCGTTGTGCGCGTGGCTCACCACACAGTTATTGTGTTTTGGCTCGTGTTTATCACAGTTTGCTCCAAACCATCCAGTGATGATATAAACCCTCTGGCTTTCCATACACATGCAAATCCCTGCAAACCTGTCCACCTGAAAAGCCTTTCAAGGAATAGTTTATTTACAGATTATTTACTCACCACCATCTCCATTCCCGAATAGACCGTATCCATTTTTTATGGGACACAAGTAGAAGTTAATATGACCCCTTTAAGAATACAATGGTTCTTAGTGACCACATCTGTCAGGCAGTTAAAATAACATCATACAGATTTGGAACAACATGAAGGTGAGTAAATAATGACAGACTTTTCATGTCTGGGTGAACTATGCCTTTAAATCCATATATGAGCTGTTCTTAGTCCCTTTTCTCTCTCTTTTCCAGTATTTGTGGTATTCAGCACTTGGAACGAGCAGGGAACAACCTGACGCTCTTTGACTCTCTGTATTTCTGTGTTGTCACCTTCTCTACGGTGGGATTTGGTGATGTTACACCTCAGATCTGGCCCTCACAGCTGCTGGTGGTCATCATGATCTGTGTGGCTCTTATAGTTCTACCAATACAGGTAAATAAATCACACTCCGACAATCACACTTTTCATCGTACTGTAGATATACATATATGTCACTGAATAATTAATGCAACTGACTCAGGAATGAAACAAGTCACTACTGTGTACTTAAGGGTCAGTCATTGAATTATTCACTCAACCAATTTATTTTAAAACACTGATTCATTCAGGAACAGCACACCTCCACTGTGTTTTGCTTGTGATAGGCTTTGCTTGTGAATGCTTCTGCTAGGCTTTGTTTGAAACAATTTTCATTTGTGGATCAAAACCAGACAAAGTGCCTGGCAATAATGTGTGTAAAAGTTACTCATTATTAACTTCTTGTATATTGAACTGTTTGATTAGTTCTATATCACACTCGCTGCCTCTTCTTTGTCTGAATATCAGCAAATTTAGTGTACATACTGTATGTGCACATACGTTTTGAGAGTGACACCCACAATTAATGTATCGCTGAATTCCCTAAGTTATCATTTTCTGTGTGTAAAATAACCTGCAATGGCTGCCAGGCAGTAATAATCATAGCAATATTTTGGCATCTTGCAGCCCATGGAAGACAGCAGTTTACCCATTTGGATATTTTTAGCCAACCAATGTTGACAAAGGGAACAACTGATGTTATTAGCAACTGTGGTCAAGTGAGAAATACTGGAGTAAACATTTGTGACCCTGGAGCACAAAACCAGTCTTAAGTCGCTGGGGTATATTTGTAGCAATAGCCAAAAATACATAGATTTTTCTTTTATGCCAAAAATTATTAGGATATTAAGTAAAGATCATGTTCCATGAAGATATTTTGTAAATTTCCTACTGTAAATTAGAAAAATTGACCCTTATGACTGGTTTTGTGGTCCAGGGTCACATTTAATAATGAGCACAGACAGTCACTTTTCCTCTCTTCCTTTTATGTCACTGTCAGTGATAGAAATTAACTTTTACATTTCCAGGCACATTTTTTCCTTTTATAGCGGCAAAAGTAATGTATAATTAATTAATTAATGCATAAATGCATATTATTCTTACATTTAATCAATAAATTCAATTAGAATAATAAAACATTATAGGGCTGTTACTTATCAAATTAAATCAGCATCAACGAAATCCATCGTTGCACTGTATTTACTGTTTAATTCAGCCAGAGTTATGCAGAATTAATAAGCCAGAAGTGGCATAAATGCATTTACACTGCATTTATAATTGCATAACTAATCTTATGATATTAATGTTTTAAATATAATATTAGGAGTATGGAAATGTGACATTATATTTCTTTGTAAAAATCGACGCATTTCAGAAAGGCGGGGCATAGAGGAGAAACAATAATGTACATTATATGGAAAATAATGTGTTTTTTTAACTTTAAACCACATAAACACATTGCATTACACCAAATACACAACATAATGTTCTTTTTAGCAACATCATATGACCCCTTTAATGAGTCTTTGAGTCAATCGGCGAATGAAGCAGTTTTTTTTGTTTCTTTTTTATGAATGGGTCATTGAATCATTCACTCACCTGATTCATAAAAAAACACAGATTCATTCAAGTTGTTAACTGACTTTTTTTTATTAAACTGTTGTATAAAATCACTATCAGATTTGCAATCGTACTGATATTTGGGAAAAACAACACTATTACTTGTGTGAAATGGTATAAATATTAAAAACAAAAACTCATAAAAGAGCTATTTTGTTGCCACATCTCAATTTTTTTAGGCACTTTTAATTAATTTTGGTTCTATTTTTGCCCCAAGCTCCTTTTCATTTCAGACTCTCGTCTCTGTCCTGGAATTTACTGATTGGTCCAAAACCAACTTATACTATTTTATACAGCAAACATTATTTATACTGTATATATTTTACACTGCCAAATTCAGTAATTCACATCAAACTGTAAATTTATATACCAGTGACAAACCTTAAGTCATCTTAATACAATAAATCTGTCCCACTTGATATTCGTATCAAGATTTCTGCAAATTCTCATGAAGAGTTTTGAAACTGTGCATAATTTAGGTATATTTTGTGAATTACTCTGAAACATTTACAGAGAACCTAGTGAATGAAAGAAAGTATTTTATCTCAGTTTCCTCAACAGTAGTTCTGCTTTGTTCTTTCACACAACTTCACATAATTTCAACTGTCAGACATTATATGCAAATATTATGTGGTTATGATGACAAAGGCACTGAGTCGAATCACTTTTGTGTATAAGGCCCCATGAGATGCGTCACAGCTGGTGATTTTCACAGTCTGACACACACAAGCGCACAGACGTACGCTGAGATGCACTTCTATGTACACAGCACTTTAATGATACACGTTTCACATCCCACTTCAACATATACCTTGTATTATTGACACACACTCACCCAAACAAGTCTCGCACACACTCGCTCATGAGCGCGAGCCTCCCGCGGGGCTGAGGAGAGAATGAGATGAGAGTGAGCTTGTCTTTCATGTGTGATGTGAGGACTTCCCTGCCAGCTTCCTCTTTGGGAGGCTGATATGTTTCCGTCACACAGGAAATGGCAGTGGCTCCAGCGAGGTCCTCCTACTCTTTTCATCCACAAATACCAGCTGACATTTACTGCTGCCCCCCACACGCAGCTGGCGCGCGAGCGTTACGTCCGAGGCTGTGTTTGTTTCTGGCCTGACAGGGGAAATCTCCAGTATGGCTCATGGCCCGCAGAGAGCCATTTCAACACACAGACTGACAGCAGCTGCCGTATCCTATCGCTCCCTGTGCACACATTGCAATGAGTTTTTTTTATTCAAAGCTTTCCTATTGCAATTAAACAGTGCCAAATCTCAATTCCCAAATATCTTTTGCTTGAAAGCCACTGAATCGCAGACATTACCCAAGACTCGCAATAAAACACCTCGAATCTTAGCTGAGAATCCTTTTGTGTACTCAATACCAGGAGAAAAGGACTTTTGTCAGACATTTACTCCCCCGATTACACATGCGTCTGAGCACTTTTGCAAGAGTACCACGACATGAGGGTGAGTAATTAATGACAGAATTTTCGGATAAACTATCCCTTTAAAACCACTGACAGGTGAAATCAGTAACATTGATTATATTGTTACAATGGCAAAGGGGGAGGGGGGATATATTAGACAGCAAGTGAATAATGAGTTCTTGAATTTCATGTGTTGGAAGCAGGAAAATGGGCAAGTGAAAAGATCTGAGGGGCTCTGACAAGGGCCAAACAGTGATGGCTAGACGACTGGATCAGAGCATCTTCAAAACAGCAAGTCTTGAAGTCTATGCAGTGGTGGAAGAGATTGCAGCAGATGAACTATAGGAAAAAGGCAGGCTGACATAGGCAGTGTTTGCTCTGGACAATGTTCTGGCATTCATGTGGATGTTATTTTGACACGTACCACCTACCTAAAGACGTTCACCCTTACATGCTAATGGTGTTCCCTGATGGCAGTGACCTCTTTCAGCAGAATAATGCATCTCGCCACACTGCAAAATTGTTCAGGAATGGTTTGAGGGACATGACAAAGAGTTCAACGTGTTGCCTTGGCCTTCAAATTTCCCAGATCTCAATCCAATTGAGCATCTATGGGGTGTGCTGGACCAACAAATGCAATCCATTGAGGCTCCACCTCACACTTTGCAGGACTTAAAGGATCTGCTGCTAATGTCTTGGTGCCAGAGACCACAGGAACGTTCAGAGGTCTTGTGGAGTCCATGCCTCCTTTTAGTTTGCCCACTGAATTTAATTTCACAGAAAGGTCTGATAACCCAACTGAAGCTATGTGTAGTCTGATGCCTCTTTGTAAAGCCGTTTTAATGAAGCTTTGTTCACTTGAATTTCCCGTAGTTTGAGCAGTTGGCTTTCTTGTGGATGGAGCGACAGAAGTCTGGAGGGAACTACAGCCGCTATCGTGCCCAGACCGAGAAGCACGTGGTGTTGTGTGTCAGCTGTCTCAAGATAGACCTACTCATGGACTTTCTCAACGAGTTCTTCGCACACCCCAGACTGCAGGTGGGTATGTGTGTGCGTATGTACGCTCTCACATGTAAATGTATGCATGTTCATGCTAATTTCAGCTCAGACAGCCTGCTGTGCGCTGGTTAATCCTCTTCAGGAGCGCTGGAAGCTGAGGTTCTTGTACTAGGATTAACCGAACATCAATTTAATTTCACCATGCTATTTATGTGCGAATGATCCGGGTTTCATTAGCTTGCAGTGTCTGTCTGACCCCGTTTTTCACTAAATTGAGCTCACCATGTCCAGGACTACTATGTGGTCATCTTATGTCCCGCTGAGATGGATGTCCAGGTGCGAAGGATACTGCATATCCCGCTATGGGCTCAGAGGGTCATCTACCTGCAGGGATCTGCTCTCAAAGACCAGGACCTAATGAGGGCGAAGTAAGACCTGCCGAGTAAATGTATAAACAATGCTAGTCATCTGAAGTGAAAAATGACTTCAAATCGAAAAGGGGATTTTTAAAAACTGTATTTGCAGATAATACAATACTAATTAAATAACTTAATAATAATGTCAAATTAAAAGATTTACTTCAAAGTACTTTTAAAATCATTATAACATTTTATCATGCTTTAAAGAAGTACACCTATTTTGATGTGTTGACTAACATACTGGAGCGCATGTAAAATTACTTGCACTTAGACGTAAACTGTGGTGTGTTATTTGCTAATACATTTAAAGTTAATATATTTTAAATGCAATAAATTGCAACTTCATCATTACATCATGTGTTGTTACAAATATTATGGTAAATATTAGTTTACCATAAATGCTTGGCATTACATTCATCAGTACACTTGCCCTGCCCTGACCTGACCTGAAAATAGTTCCAAGAAGTATTGAGCTATACTACTAATATCCATTATTTTTTACCATTCTTACTGCAATAAGTATACTTATAACTTTACTTAAAATTAACTTGAATGAACATGCTTTAAAGAAGTACACCTATTTTGATGTGTTGACTAACATACTGGAGCGCATGTAAAATTACTTGCACTTAGACGTAAACTGTGGTGTGTTATTTGCTAATACATTTAAAGTTAATATATTTTAAATGCAATAAATTGCAACTTCATCATTACATCATGTGTTGTTACAAATATTATGGTAAATATTAGTTTACCATAAATGCTTGGCATTACATTCATCAGTACACTTTAACCATATTACAATGACAATAGAATTAATGATTAAATCACTATTACTATTATTAGTCCTATAAGTTCTGTTGTAGTGTAGTTCACAATATTGCAATAGAAAAGAAAAGTTAGATGTCAGCTAGTTGTGTACTGAAAGTCTACTATTGTTGCAGAGCACAAATTCTGAGTATGGGTCACCATACTTGGCCACAAGTCCCTTCCCTTCCCTTC